CTGATTTTGCACCCACCTTAGAACTTACTAACCCCAATGAGGCTAATCTATCCACGAGGTAAACCTAACAGAGTGGTCTACGTCCCACACGTGTATTCACCTGCATGTTCGGTAATTTCTTTCCAATTAGTACATATTGTCTACTACTATTGTGTTTGTATCTCATGCCACCTTTTGGGGTGCTGCTGTAACACAATCTGTATCTCAAGCACAACCTTCCTAATTAGTCTTCTGTTACGTACTCCTGCCCTGTATTGGTTCACAACAACCCCAGTACCCACATTTGAGCTGTCTCTTTTCCGGATTCTTTATCGGTCCATCCCTAACTTTCAGCCGGCAACCCGGAAGGGTTGGTCTGCCCAGGCTTTAGATGCCTGAAGGATGCACTCTCCTTGGTCCATACTTTCGGAGCATATGGTCTTTTCCTCCGATGCATCTAAACCGGTGGTTTGGCTGGTGTGTCTCCCACTAAAGGACCTGATCGCTTGGTTCTCCAATCTCGGGCCCCGGTTCAAATTCAGCCTTTATGTAGTACCGTCGAAGATCACTGCTACTTCCAAACTTGGGACTTTCCAAACGGGCTTCGATCTCTGGTCCTGTGACCCGTGCTATGCACAGCCCACAGATTACAGCCACCTGGAATCCCTTTTACCGGTGCCCCAGGCACTAGATCACTAAATTATCCATAGGCCAACCTAAATAGAGATCGTCGTCTGATATATTCCATTTTTGCTATTTTCGAAAGTATCTTTCCTGGGATTTGAACCTTGAGGAATATATCATTACTATTTGGAGTGGGTGACGACTAGACCACTTTACTAAGGCGCATAGGTGCAATTTATAATAATAATATAATTTAATATATTAAAATTGTATTTTTTTTTTTTTAAAACGATCCTGTCTTTATTTATGTAAACTGTTATATAATTTTTATACCTATGTGTACAAAATTCTTACAACTTATTGCTCTAACATAATAAAGACTCACCAAGCATAAATGCCCAATGCAACCTGCTATAACAACTGTTTGTCTACTCAGAGATCATGAACTTACTCATGATTTCATATCCCAAAGGGTACCCCCCTCGATTATGGACTGGCCATTGTATATCTCATCAGGATCACCAACCTTTCTTCTAACTTTTTCCACCAAAATTTGGGCAGAATAACTATCTCCTACTCTTCTATAAGCAAGATCATATATACCACATTTATAAAAGACCAAAAACATTTAGGAGAATAAAAGGAAAATTAAAACCAAAAACCACAGAAAAAAAACTATCCTAAATATAATTTCATCATAACTGGACCAGTAAAAAAAGTAAAAAAGAAAAGTCAGCGATCCCGACGAGAAAAAGGAAAAATGCACTATTATAACCTATGCTAGGCGAGTATAAAAATTATATGCTTATAGCAACACTGCATATCTCTATTGTAAGGCTTCGCCTATACTATTAATTCCCCTCTGACCCTACTATTTCCAGAAGTCTTTGCCCGGGTTCTTCTAATCAGGTACTGTTATTGTCCCATGCCAACTTTTCAGTTTTCAGTGGCCCTGAGCCAAAACCAGTAGCACCATGTCCGCTTATCAGACACGTGATTGCTATCTACTACATCAACTGGATATGGGAATACAAACACCGTGTAACCTATGCCAATCGTTTGGAGGGGTAAGCCAAATCTCCACTTTTTGTCGAAATTCTTTTTGAAAGACCGACAGGAGGGCGAGTAGAAGAAAAAAAAGAAACCACCTGGTTGAGTAAAAAAGTGCGACTTGAAGAAAGGCAAGTACTTGTTGTTTTCCCTGTGTTTCTTGTTTCGAAGTAACAGCCTAAGTGCTTCATTGACAGATAAGACTCCAGTTTCTTCACCAAGATTTTGTATTCAAAGGCACACACCTCCTGCCAGTTATCTTGTATACCAATGCTCTTGGCTTGCATGCTAAACGCACAGCTTATAAAGGAGTCTCGGAAGAGAAAAACCGTTAACCTCTAGGCAAACCACACATTAGGCCACAACTCTTCAACAAGATTTTTGTTTTTCTTCAGTAGGAAATTCTGGTCCAGATGATCATCGAGGAGAGTTGATTGAATGAATAATTTTTCAGTTTTTTTTTCTTTTCAAGAAACACAACTATTGGAACTATTTGTATTGATTGAGCAGTATTCTTTATATCTGATAGTAAATAAAAAAAAATAATGTTTAGTATTATATTATAAAATATTCGAACTTGTTATTAATAATAAAATACAGTAATAGTTGTTATATATAATTGTCAATTAGACAATCTAAAGTTTGTAGTTTTAACTTAAAATTGTAAACAAAAAAGCTCTAAGCCATATACAACTTATAGACAGAAATTCGTCTGATTGGCTGATGTAAATTAATTGCCTAGGTAACTTATTTATACACTTTAAAGTACTTTTTAAAAAATGCAACATTTTACTAATGTGAAAAAATTTTTTTACACAATTTGCTTCATTTTAGTGCCAGAAAACCACCTTTAAAAATAATAAATAATTTTAAATTTAAGTAGTATTAGCTTTGATGCAACTTTCTGAACTAAGTAAAGTAAAAAAAGGGTTTGTTTGAATTTTAATATATATTAAAAAAAATATTTACTAACAAATAATAGATTTTTTTTAGAGATTGGAAATTTAGGGTTAAAGCACTCTTAAGTTGGATTGGTTTTTATGTTTGTGTTTATAAATTATAGATATAAGCTTGGGTTTTTAGATAGTTCTGCAGTTAGATTTAGTAAGTTCTGGTTGTTTTAGTAGTTGAACACCGCTTTTACTCCTCTTTATATATATTCGCCTATCTTATATATATATATAATCAGTACTTTTACTAATTCTTATAAACTTTTTTCTTGTAATATTGTAAAATAATGAATAAAAATTGTGTAATTTGATTGGTTAATGGATTTGCAAATCAATCTAAAAAACTAGCCAATCAGACAAACTTCTGTCTTTGAACTACAAACACCATTAACAACACTATTTTTGTAAAATAAGATAGAAAAAGGGCTCTTTTTCAGTAATATCATTAATTCACTTAGTATCAAAGATTGAAGATAAGAACAAACAACGATTTGGAACATACATAAGTACATCTTATTTTTCGGATTATCTCTTTCGAATAAATCTTATTTAATGCTCTGTACATGTTCTTGATTTTTATAGCTCTGGATGGAAATCCTATTTACTACGTTTAGCCTTTTATTTGGAATTTTCTTATGTCAAGAAAATAATCTACATCCGATATTAGAGATTGGAATCGTTTAACCGTTTAAAAATTGCTCCATAGTTCCGGGCAGAATTATGTTGGTCGTGGGCCAGAATTATTTTAATGCCGGCCAAATTAAACGATTAAACGGTTAAACGATTAAGAAAAATTTTAGGCGATTCCAATCTATATCCGATATAACACACAATTTTGATAATATTATATATATATTGTTTATTTTAGTATAAAAACTCTTCCTATAAGTAAAATTCCATGCTACGCATTTTTTACTTAGAAATAAAGGCCGGTTGCCATAGTAAAATTTTGTGTTATTTATGATTTCTTTACTGCTTATTTTTAGCATTTGTAGAAGCGATTAGTATTGCAGTAATCATTAGCGATTAGTATATAGGCAAAATTTCGAGTTATGGATGTTTTTTTGAAAAACCCAGAGTTTATTTTGTTTTCATGATATGTATGATCCTGTGTCGTGATTGGTTTAAAATAATGAGATTGAGAACTTTTACGCTGTAATAGTTTTAAGTTACACAATCATAGATAAATAACAAATCAAGTAAATTCTGAAATTGATACATAAAGCACCTAGAAGCATGCATTTAATTCAAATCGTATTTGGAAAAGCCCTGAGAATATCTTTAATAGACGATCTAATTCTAATCAGTCCTATTTGGTTCTGGACTGCGATCCAATTCGATCTTTTAAAAGTTCTAGACCTGGACGGACTGAACGGACCGATTAACAGCCCTAACTATTACATACTACAAGTTACTACACACATATGACTCTCAGTTTTAATTACTTGTTGAAACCGGTATTTGAAGCAGATGAGGTTATCAATATTGACGAGGATCATATCAGTTGATATAAGTTTCAAACCAAAAAAAAATTTTTTTATAAAGTAAAAAGAATTGATTTAAACATTGATTTAAACCATTGTCTTAAAATAAATGTGATCCCTTCATGCGTGATACACAAAACAAGATAAGGAAATATTATTAAAAAAAAATAATAAATAAAATAATAAAACAAATACACGATCCAGAACTATTATTAAATAAAAGAGCATTATGATCAAATACATTTTATGTTAACCGACAATATCATGATAAAGTCCAAATTTCCGAATATTAAATGCTTATCATTAAATTTTGCTGTTAGGTCAGAGTTTTATCTTCGCAGTTGAATTTAAAGACTTTACAAATACTAAAATTTCGCAAGGAAAACCTTTTATTCAACATATTTGCAGTATTCTCGTACCCATTATCAGCAGCTTTTTTATACCATTGCTTAGCTTTATCTAAATCCTTTGTAGTTCCAATTCCTTTTTTGTAACATTCTGCAACACTATATTGACTAGGTGGAATTTTTTGGTTTGCAGCTTCAAGATAATATTCGAATGCTTTTTCTTCGTTTACTTTTATTCCTATTCCTTTTTTGTAACATTCTGCAACATAATATTTACCAAATGGGATGTCATTGTCTGCAGCTTCAAGATAATAATTGAATGCTTTTTCTTTGTTTGCTTTTGTTCCTCTTCCGAACTCATAACAATTTCCTAAATTATTGCATGAAAGTATATAACCCAGTTCATGTGATTTGTTAAAATAATCAAATGCTTTTTTTTTGTTTTTTTTAACACCTATTCCTTTCATATAACAGAGTCCTATGGCATTTTTAGATCTTGCATGTCCATCTGCTTCTGCTTTTTCGTACCATGATATAGCTTTTATTGGATCTTTTTCAGTTCCATAGCCGCACCTAAAGCATTCTCCAAGGTAAAATTTCGCTATTATAACTTCTTTTGCTGCTTTTTCAAACGTATTGAAAGAAGTTTCATGATCCTCTCTAGTCCCAACCCCCATAAGATAAAAGAATCCAAGAAGACATATATATTTTAAATCATCATTTTGATTTTCGCATATATACTTAAATATAGTTTGTGATGTTTCTTGATATTTGTCAATGATTTCATTTATTGATTTCGAAATTTGTATAAATTCGGTTCCGTTATCTGTTAAATTGACAAAACATTCTAATAATTTAACTGATAAATTTAACACCTTGTCTATTGTATTCTCTACATTGAAATTTGTAGTAGTTTTAGATAGCCCGTTAAGGGTTTTTAAAATTTCATCCATAGAAGGACGTTCGTCTGGATTATATAACCAACATTTTATATAAAGATCGGAGTAACTTGAGGGTACATTAGCAATAGGCATTTCTCTTTGTTTGTTTGAAATTTTATTTACTATAACGTAATAAGAATAACGATAGAATGGAGGAATTCCACTTGTGAGTTCCCAGAGTAACATCCCTAAACTATAAATGTCAGATCTTTTGTCACGTTTAAAAAATTTTTGATCGTCACGCGTTTCATTTTCTTTAAAATTGGCAAATTGAAGAACACATTGTGGTTCTAGATATGCTATCATTCCTTTAACATGCATACTTGTAGTAGAATTATCCATGTGTTTTGATATTCCTAAATCCGAAATCAAGGCTCTATTATTATGTATTAAAATATTCTTAGAATGCTAACAATTTAATAAAAGAGTTAGAAGTATAATTACGTGAGAAATTAAATCTTTTTTAAAAAATAACCTACCAGATCCCGATGAATGATACCATTCTCGTGCAAAAATTTTAGCCCATCAGCAATATCAATCGTGAATTGTATAAGTTGAGACCATGAAATTTTATAAAGACCATCCTTTTGTTTTCCAAATAAATAATTTCGTAAGTTTCCTCCATTGGCGAATTGTAACACAAACATAAAATCATTAACGTCTAATATAGCCAGCGAGAAATCCAAAATTTATTATCTGTCATGCTTAAGTAAATTTTATTAACAATAATCTTTATTATAATTTACCTCTTGAAATTCCGTAGAATTTTATAATATTGGGATGTTCTTCAATCTTGTAAAAATTTTCGAGCTATATTATTACACATATTAATTACTGAAAATTTTAATAGTTTAAAGTTATTGGAAATCAAATAATATTACTTCACGTTTAAACTCTTTAATTTCTTCTTTAGTTAGTTGTAGATTTTTTCTTAGACTTTTTAACGCATATCTCACACCCTGGAAATTTGCGGAATACACGATTCCACATCCCCCTTCACCGATTTGTTCGAGATCTTCGAATTGAGAGTAATTGAATATTTTTACATTTTTTCCCTTCAAATATATTTCAAGTTGCCCTAATTGTTGCTTTAATTGTTCTGAAGATTTAATTGCCAACGACATATAGACGTTATAGCATTAAGTTTATTTAGTAAATTACGAGATTCAATTACTAGTTACTACGAATATTTATATTAATTACAAATTTAATTTCAAAAAAAATTTAACAGCCGAAAACGTAAACTAGTTTAATATCTAGTTATAATAATCATAAATTTGTATAATAAAGAATATCGATATGTAAATTATCGTTATATATTCCTACTTATGGAAGAAATGATACAAATATAAGCGCAAGGCGTTTTGGCTTATTTGGAGATCGAACAAACAAAAATTAAATAAAGTTTTACGCAAAATCACAAACCAAACTTGTTATATGAATGACGCCAAGAAAAACCTGTTATTCACATTTTTATGCATTGAATTTGTTTTCGTCTTATCATTATCTTTACGGGTATTCAATTTCCGATGGTTTTAAACAGTGTTACCAGAAATTAACAATAAATTATAGTTATGCAGTTACTTTATTCATCATTATTATTACAAAGCTATATATTATGATAAGGTTTATCTGCACATACGTACGTACGTTCATCACGAGTAATACAGACTCCTAAAAAGGAGTATCAATCAGTATGATCAAATTATGATTATTCCGGATCAGACCGGCTAGATTCGAAAACGCACAATACTGTATAGAAAAACTAATGTTTAAACTGACCGTGATGTATTAATCAAAACGACGGAAATGGAACTTTACATATTAAGTGATGGTTTATCTATAGCTTCTAATGCTAATTTCTTTCTACTGTTGCCTCTTATATTTTTGGTTTGTATTACTCGCGCAAATTTATCATAAAAAATTTCACCGACCAATCAAACCCGACTTCAAGACAGCGATATCAAAAATTAATTTTTATATAACAACTGATCTTGTGATATTAATATTAGACCAAATACCCGGACAATTTTCCCTGCGCCCTGATACTTTCCTTCGGAGTTCATTTCCTCAGACTTCCATAATTGACCAAATAAACTCGAGATTATTCAGCGTCTCTCTGATTTTATTAGTTTTCAATCTAATATATCATTAACTTTATTGAATAATTTAAAATGAATATTCCAAGCCTTTTTTTTATTTTAAATTCTATGCTTATTTTTCTAGTTTCTTGTGAATTTATTCCTATATCTCGATATCTTCAAACGAGTGTTTTAGTTAACAATTCTAGATGGTATTTTTTTGGTGGCGACATTGGAAACTTTGTTGATACTAATGAAGTATTATATCTTGAATTATCAAGCTCATTTGATGTTAGTTCGCCTCCATGGCATAAAGATCCAGTAGGGAGTCCTTTAGCAAGTGTTTTTAGTACTTCATGTGTTTCCACAGATAATTCTTCTATTTTTATAATTGGTGGGAATATGTATGATCCCGATCCAGAATTACAAAATTATAATTATTCTTCATTATTGTATAGATATTTCTTAAGTAATTCAAGTTGGACAACACCAGATATTACAGGAATAGATAGTTTCAAAGAATGTGGCGGATTACAATCTATTATTGATAGTACTGGAAGAATTTTTTTATATGGTGGAATACGTAACATTTCAGCACAAATTTGCAATAAAATGAGTATATTTTACACAAATAATATGTCATGGTTTACAGTTAATCTCACCACTTCAAAGGTAGGGTATACTGCTACCTTGCTTAAAGGTGGGAATATCACTTACATTGGTGGTCGTTCGGGGATTGACTACGACAATGATAGTAATTATGATAGTATGAATGAGGTATGATTATTTTATATTCACGTGTTTTTAAATTTATTCATAAAACTTATTTTAAAACCGAATACAGATTCTGATATTCGATACCAACTCCTTAAGTTGGTATAATGTTGTAAGTAATATTGAAATTTTATAAGGATTAATTGGAGTTCGTACTGATAGTCATTTTAATCCAGACAGCTTCTGGTGATTATATTGAAGGTCGCGGATTTCATTCTGCTGTTTTAGGTATAGTATTTAATTTGAGGTAACTACAATTTTAGATAAGAATCTTAAAATTTTTTATTTTTAATTTTAGCTCGAGATTCAAAAATTATAATATATGGTGGCTCAATATCAAACAAGGCCAAAGCAGTAACACCAGTTCTTGCGATGTTAGATATTAACATTTATCCATTTAGATGGACAAATCTTAATAACTTTACCGTTGATGCACCATCACCATCACTTACATGTCATTCCGCAACTTTGTATGATGATTTTATGATCATTACATTAGGTAATTATAATTCAAAGAAAATAAATTTTATTATTATTATTTATTTATTTTTTTATTTATAGGAAGATTTACAGTTTATAATATCGAGGTTTTAAATAACAAAACTTATATTTTTGACACATTAAATTATAAATGGGTCAAAAAATTGAATAGGAGAAATCAACTTACTCCTTTAAAGATCTTTGCAATCGTAATTAGTGCAGTTGTACTTTTTGCTGCAATAGTCTTAATGGTGGTATTTCGGTGGAAGCGTAAAGTGGGAATACAAGATGATCGTCTTAGTAATTTTTAATATAGTTCCGATTACTGTATATTTAATTTATATTTAACCTTTTGAAGGTTTAGTTGTATTCATTTTTATAGGTAATACTAGGTGCATAAACTGTTAGGTCCGAAGCCTTAATAACCAAATTTAATTTATATTTATTAATATTTATAAAATCGGTAAAATCGTCACCAAAAAGTTTCTGTCATCACATGATAAATACGTCGAGCACCAAAAAAGCCATTTGCCTTGAACTAAAAAATAATAACGGTAAGCAATAAATTAATCATTTTATTGTTTCAAATAAACTCAATAAATGAAATATTTATTACAGTCATAAAGTACTATTATTAGATTTTTCTAGTATTTGGAATATTCCATTGCCTTTTAAAATGATTATAATCGGCTCAGAATTCTTATTATCGATCCATTTGTTACTATTTGGATTAACCATGTTTCTTCAATGATTTTTTTGCTGCGTTCTGGATTCAGAATTGTAAAACTTTTTGCTCAAATAAGTAATCAGTTATAGTCTTCCGGAAGAGCATTCAAAATAAAATCTATAAGATTTTCTGGTGTAATTGCATTTGCCAGATTAGTTTTTATAATTTTATTTCTTTTTTCGTTTATCATTAGTGGAAATTTTGGTTACATTGAACAATGTGTATTTCTAGAATATTGTGTTATTTGATTTTGTTTTTAAAAGATTGCAACGATCATTTTATATTTTGAAGAATCGAAGAAAATAATACTTTATTGAATATTATTATCATTATTCTAATCATGATGAATTGACAATACTACATGATTTTCGAAACTTTTTTTGGTGGCTCTGTCAAACTCATAATAAAGTGGTAGCAAAAAAAAATTTGCAATCAGATGTCGTGACCCAATTATGTATGTTGATATTATATTCTGAGGTTCAGAACAATAAAAATCATCTGATTGCGAATTTTTTCTGCCATCACTATGTTACCTAATAAAAGATCTTTATATTTACTAGCGATTGAAATGATTTGTACGTAATAGTAAGTATTTGGATTAATTTAATAACCGGAAAGCATAAAATAATTTGTAAATCAAAGTATTCGAAAACAATGTACACACTTTTTTATTAGCTTTATTGGTTTATTGTTCGTGCTGATTTGGTCAATAAACATTTTTTATTCAAGTCGATTTAGTCGATATTATTTATGAAATAATCTACCGTATAAACACGAAATTAGTGTTCCGCAAAATGGATTCAAGATCTGCAAATCCATTTCGAATCCCATAATTTCAGATCCGAATCCAAAAAAAGATTGATCAAGTTAGATTCATTTATTATTACCGAAATACACAAATGCTAAAACTCTAATTTCTTGTGATTTTTTTTTTTTTGAATTTTATTGATTTTTTTTTTGAAAAGCATATTAAATATTACTATTCGCCAGATATCGAACTTCATTGAAAATGAATGTGTAGCATATATTAATAGGATTATGCATGAGTTAACAAGATTCAGGTGCGAATCTTGCTTCTTGTAGACTGTAGCGTGTTTGTTTCTTATCATTATGCTTGTTTTCTGAAATGAGGTTATGATTAGTACATAATTAGATCAAGTTTCAAATTAAGCAGTTATTAAATATACTTATCATATAAGTGCAAAATAACGCTACGTAGTGGGTGTTATTTCGAAAATTGGGTGCTTCAAAAATAACATAGTCTTGAATTAGCGCTCACGAGTGTCCCGCATCCCAATACAGCACATAATTTATTGTTGCGGTAGATATATAGTCGATACACTCTATAAGTGCATCACATGGGCTTTACTTATTTGTGCCGGTAATACAAACCCCTAAAAAGGGAATTTTAGGTATCTTGGATCAGCCCGACGTAGAAACCGGATCGATCCGACGAAGCAAAACAAACGAAAAAAAGAGAAAAATGAAGAAAATACAAGAAACAGTAGTCTAAATCTACTTTTTTTATTAAAAAAAAATGTCGGAGAGGTAATTTTACCTATAGCACTCATAACCCTAACACTAATCCTAACCTAGGTTCTAACCCTAACTCTAATATTTAATAAATTTCAAATTTATTCTGTTTTTCTATGTTTTTCCTTTTTTGGTCTGTATAACCGGCACAAATAAGTAAAGTCGCATCACATGCATATAATTTGATCGGCCTAATGTAATTATAATATGTAGATTATTCTTATAAATAAATACTCTATCTCTTAAACCGTTTGAAAATCATGCCAAATTTGGCCTGAATTTTACTATAAAAACACTTCTGATCTATTTTTT